CCCATCACGGTCTCGTAGGAGGGGGGGAAGTCAGTCGGGTAGAGGGGCACGGGGCTGTCCATGGAGCCATTGTAGGTGATACTGCAGAGACAAGAGCAGAAAAGCCGTGTCTGGTGGGACGAGCCCTGCTTGGGGGCAAACTGGCTCTCTGCTCCTGCACCATGGCGGCCTCACTCCCAGCCAGGTACCTCTGCGCATCAGTCTCGGAGCTGCAGGTATACTCAGGTGGGTAGTAAGGGGGTGGCGGCACCGGGGGCACGAACTCCTCGAAGTCCATCATGCTCTGCAGAAAGGTGTCAGGAGGGGACGTGCATTCCAGCGTCATGGAGCTCGAGCGCTGGGGGACCAGCTGCAGGGAGAGGAGGGAGAGCTGGGACTCCCTGCCCAGAGATCCAGCAAGGGACGCATGTCCTGGGACTTAATCCACACCTGGCTGGGGCCAGGTCCTGCCCTGGCACCCCAGGGCCCCCCAGCCTGGGAGTGCTGCGCCCCAGCCCCGTCTGCTCCTGGGCTAGAGCTGGGACTCACCACATGGACGATGTCAAGGGAGAAGATCTGGATGCAGCACACAACAGCAGAGAGTGTGCAGATGATGGTGGAGAAGACGGTCAAGCCGCAGACACTGAAGAGGAGATCCTGGGGAGGAGTGGGGTGAGCTGCAGATGCCCACAGAGCATGGCAGGGTGCACGGCCACTTCCCAGGGAGCCCTTGCCTTGCCCTGGATCCCCCACCTTGAGCGCCACGCGGATGCTCCGGCAGTCAGGGTTGGGGAACATGGTCAGCATCTCACTCTGCCGGCTGCAGGAGCCAGGCAGAGGCTCCGAGCGGGTCTGGCAGCAGACACACAAGTCACTCTCCTGGGGACGAGGAACACCATGAGGGACCTTTGGATGCTGTGCTCTCCTCCAAGAGCCACTGGAATGTCCCACCACCAGACCCTTGCTCCACAGCTCCCCATGCCCCCAGAGCCCTGCAGCCAGGGATGAGCTGCACTCAGCTGCCCAGGCACTCAGCGGCAGCCCCCAGCCAGCCTCACCCTCTCGCAGGCCTCCAGGGACTTCACCAGCTGCGCGTTCTGGCAGGACAGGATGGACCCAGCGAGGCTCAGCATGACGCCCAGCACTGACAGCAACGTGAAGAAGGTGATCTGCAGCGGGGAGGAGAGGGGCTGCCAGCTGGGCAGTGCTGCAGAGCAGGGAGCCAACGCATACAGCTGCACATCTGGGAGCATGTGGGGCCACTTGGTCCCCTCATACCACCCTCCCCAGCCTGGACCCCTGTCTGTGGAGGAGTCTCCCCCAACACCTACCACCAGGGTGAGTGGCCGCTTCCAGGTGACGATGCCGACGAGCCCAGACAGTGCCAACTGCAGATGCACAAGGCCGGGGATGAGGATGGGGAAGGGTGTCAGCCAGGCAGTAGGGACTAGAGCAGCCCCCGCCCTTGGGTAGAGTCTCCCAGCCCTGTGGACCCAGAGCTGGCCCAGGAGCAGCAGGGCCATAGGGGCAGCCTTGGTGCTGCAAGCCTGGAGAAACTGCTGATTCAGGGCACTGGAGAGCCTGGGGACTGCAGGCAGCTCCATGCTGGGCAGTGAACCTGGGCCAGGATCTGTGCCACGGCGTTACTGCAGGGGACCCCAGGCCTGCCGGGGTGCTGCCCTCACCCTGTGTACACAGCAGGCAGAGCATCACAGCGCTTGGCTCAGGAGCAGGGCAGGGCTGCCCGGGGCGCCCCGGTCACCGGCCCTGTCGCCACTGCAGCACTCCTCCCTGCCTGCAGCTGCACAAACCTGCTCAGGGTTTGTCCAGAAGCATGTCACCTCAACACATACCCCACATAACGCCCCACACCACTCCGGGGGTCCCCATCCCTCACACAGTCACCCCGAGGGAACTGCCGGGATTCTCCCACAATGCAGCACAGGAGCCATGGGCAGGGGGTTGGGGAGCAGCAGGGCTACAGTCACTGGGGACCAGCAGTAAATTCAGCATCCAGGGAGCTGTATGGACCTGACAGAGCAGGTCTGTGGCAGACCCCTCCACACACTGCCCTGGCCCCAGACTCACCGAGAAGCCGGCCCAGGATGGGCAGGAGTGTCGGA